TGTTATGCGTGTTGCTCATCACTTGCTGGATTTGGCAATGCATTATAAGAAAGTACTTCATAAGCAAAGAAGTAAATGGTTTAGGAGCAGAAATTTTAAAAGATCGGAAATATTTTGGATATTTGCCCCCGAGAAGTGACAAAGGCCACTGCTTCTAGACTCCACGTAGTTCAGGATGAAATTTAAAAGGCTTCAACCGGAAAATAAATAAAATTTCTCAAGTGAATCAAGTGACCTCAAGACAGCAATTATGTTAAGCATGTATCCTTCTCAAATTTTGTTCTAGATAGGCTCAAGGTAGCTGCCTATATTAATGGAGTAGTATAGAGAAAGAAAAGAAACCAAGAACTAAATTGAGGGTGTATATCAGTCAATTTTCTATCATAATAACTTAGATAATTATAAAGAGAAAAGATTTATTTTGGTTCACAAGTTTTGGAAGTTCTGGTTCATGACTGATTGGCCCCATTCTTTTGGGCCTGTGAAGCAGCAGCACATCATAATGGGAGAACATGGCAGAGCCAAACCATGCACCTCATCTATCAGGAAACTACAGGGAAACAGGATGAGGCCAGGGTCACCTTCCAAGACATGCTCCCCAATGACCGAAGGGTCTCCCACAAGGCCCCAGGTCCCAAAGGCTTCACCTCCTACTAGAACTGCCTTGGGAACCAAGCCTTTAACACATGGGCTTTTGTGGAGACATTCAACCTCTAAAGTATAGCAGAGTGGTTGCTTAGTATTCGGTACTGACTGAAAGAAAAGACATCAGCCTTCTTCCCAATCTTAAAGGAAATTGTGAATTGCTAAAGAAACTAAAATCAAATAAACTGTTCAAGATTTAAAACTTGGGCTTCAAGTTTCAGGAGTAAAAAGATGGCAGCAAAAGCTATTTGGTCAGGGAGGATAAGGTAAAAGGAATCTTCCAGAGGGTAAAGCCCGGGCCACCGACAGCAAGGCACTAGCAGCATTACCTACCCAGGGTCCCTTCCAGAGAAGAATTAAGCCCAAGTCATACCTCACAAGTAATTGCCTAATTTCCTTCCCGTGCAACTAGGATGGTTCTAGCTAGGTGCAAACCTGTGGTGAATTAGAAATTGTCACTTTCTGCATGGCTTTATTCTCTCATGGAAATCTAATTGAGCAAGAATTCCAGAAAATTTCTTCTAGAAAGTCAAACCAATGTCTAATTAGGAAACCTTCTTCCCCTGCCAGGAGAGGAAGACTTCAGGGTTCTAACAACGATGTGGACCAGGGAGTGCTGTGCACACAATGAAAGTTCCTGAATAATATTAATGGGTAAGAAAATGAATTTAGCATCTTTTGACAATAATTTTTAAAGCCTTTAAAAAACAGACATCTCTGAGTTAAAGAATACAAAGTAACAAATATAGAGAATGAACAAGTCCAAAGATTTCATGTACAACAGGAGCACTAATAGATAACAATGTGTTGCTCTCAGGATTTTTGCTAAATGAGTAGATTATAGCTGCTTTTGTCAAAGAGGGAGAAAAATGAGTAAAGTATGTAAGATGATGGATATGTCAATTTTTGCCACTGTTGTGGTCACCATTTTATTATATATGCATTTTATAACCATGTTGTATATCTTAAATATACCAAATACATTTTTATGTATTATATATTTATATATATAAAATAAATACACACACATACATATATATATAATAAACATATGCATATATATAATAATGTATACATATGCATGTGTATATATTTTTTAATCCAACAATTTCACCTTTGGGATTGCTGCTTAGTAAAATAATTTTAGGTGTGTGCAAAGAAGTTCAACAAAATATTAATCAATGGAGCAAGTTTCTTGTAGATTAGGATATGCAATAAATATTATCAGTGTACTTTATAACTTCTAAGTCAAAATAAATATAACAACCTCTCCCAAGGTAGGAAATAGGTCTTGGCCCATTATGCAGACCCTTGTCCTTTCCAGGGTCTCTAGTCCAAGGAATTCCAGAAGCCAACATTCCAGCCCAATCTGGTAGACACGGATAGCCTCATTTTCCTAGAAGACACTGACTCTTGAAGGCAATGCCCCTCTGCTTCTGTGTCCTGCTTGGAGACTGGAATGTTTGCTCAGGCTGAGAGCCTACTGCCAAGGTCAGCCTTCAACTGCCCCCCCCCCAAGGTCTGCCACTCCCTGGGGCCCTGTCAGGCTCAGAGGCATCCTTCCACTCTCTCCCCTCCCCCCCCTTTTTAAAGCCACTTTGCCCTTGTTCTTTGCATAATCCCCTCAATAAACTGAGATTTACTCAAACAAAAGCCAGGAAGAAAGAGCCTCTTCAGAGGCCCTGTGACAAAAGGAGCCCAGAGGCTCTTGGTTGCTTCTCAAAAGGAGGGAGAGTGAAAACTGGAGAGAGCAGAATACAAAGAACCCTATCCTTTCAAATTCTTCCCAGAGACAAACAGGAAATACGAAATAGTCTTTGCAAATTGTGCTGCACCTTTATGATAGCAAAGCTACTGGAAATAAAACTAAAGGATCGGCAGTGTGAGGATATTAAATTCATCCTAGTTTATCCAATGTAAGGAATGATACTTTTCAGGGGTTACAACATAATATAGAAGGATTTAATAACAGAAAAAGGTTGACAATTTAAGAAAAAAGGCAGGAAAAGTGAAAAACTGGTGACCAAACATACTTAAATGTTGCTACCTCTATAAACTCTGAGTCTATAGAATAAAAAGAATACATATGTGTGTATGTATAATGTACATAAACCCATACATATGCATAATTACATTTTGTGGTATAATTGTGAATTTTTTTTGTTTTTGCTTGTATCTATGTAATAACGTTTGTTTTCTTTTTCCTTTTTTTTTTTTCTTTTTTTTCAGTTTCATGATGAAGCTTCTACCTACTGCCACAGACTGGCTTAAGGCTTCTGTCCCTGGTTGGCTCAGGATTCTGGCAGCTGCCATCAGCCTTTGAAAGAACAGAGCCCAAGTCATGTGAATTATAATTGAAAACATTCTTCAAGGGACTTAAAAGCATTATTGGCTCATCATTCCAGGCTGAGGATGGGTGAGTCTGGGCTTCACAGGGACCAGATCATGGCCAAAGCAAGTCATAAAGAGCAAGCTCCTGTCAGATCTAGTAGACCAGAGAAGGGAGGGAAGGAAGAAGATAAAGAAGGGCAAGGGAGGAGGAGACAAGGCCAAGCACTTCCCTGACTGTCTTAAGTAAAGAGGAAACAAAATATGTGGAAAAGGAATAGTCTTGGATCCCTGCCTCTGTGATGTAAATGATGCTTGATTCAGAGTGCAGTGATTTTACCCTGCCCTAGAATTCCACTTACTGTGCATTAACCTGTGGTTGCTAACAGGGTATCAGCGAGTCCTTATGGTCAAACCAAAGGAAAGTTTTCACGAAGTATGGTGTTGAAAAATAAATGCTGAAAAGAAGCCCTAGGGGCCCAAAGGGACCTGTCACTAACAAGTACTGGGGCTTTTTAATGAGACTCCAGCCCTCTGCGTATGTGGGTCTACCTTGGAGTGAGAAGACAAAGCTGGGGTGGATCAGGATTAATGATAGGAACCCCTAAATGTGCCCCAACCTTCAGAGCCCACCCTACCCCCAGGGACTGAGGTAGGTGGGCCTTGCCTCTCCATTTAAGCTTCTACTTGGTTGGTTCCCTCCCATTCCCTTTCTTTCTACCTCTTCCTTTCCGTCATTTTGCAATTGCTCTCATGTAAGTGTTTTTATATATATAAATAAATATCTATAGCTGCAAAATGGTTAGGAAACTGTGCACATGATTTTTTTTTTACATTTTCTTTCTCTTCTATCATATAGTGATTTTTTTTTTTTAAATCAGGGTAAAGCAACAGTACAATCCAATAGCAATGCTGGAAGACCTAAGCAATAAGCAACACAGTTCGGTCCCTGTCTGGGGTCAGCCTTTGCTGCTACACTAATTATATCTCTCCTTAGAGTTAGCACCTGCTGTTTGGATATTAGACATGAATTCAAAATGAGGAAGAAGAGGATTAAAGAAAAAGAAGGAAGATAGAGAGAGTGAAGCAACCAGTAGAGGGAGGGAGGAGTGGGGAGAGGGCCCATGGTCTTTGGCAATGGACTCCTTCTTCCTCCATAAAACAATCTTAAATATATATTTTAAAATTGCATTGATATAAAGGCAAATATTATCTATCTCGGATTATCTTTGTTTTACTTCTTCTGGTTTTGAAGGAAATTTAGACATTCTTCATGGGCTTCGACAAGTACAGTGAACCCTGGGCACCAGGGGAGTCAGCCCTGAGTGCCACCTCTCTATGTCCCTGATTCATAGTCAGCTTACTCTGGGACGGGCTTGTTCCTACCCAGACCCCAGGACTGGTGCAAAAGACCTAAATGAGGGATACAGTTTTAGAATGTCAGGGAGATGAAGAGTTAAACATAATGTACTGCAGGAATTTTTAAAGCTCTCTGGAAGAAAATGATCCTAGAAACGGTAAATAAATTTGAATTAACAAACTCTCCCTCTGCCTCTCAACCCCTTCACCATTAGGAAAGAAAAGTAGGCAAATAAATAAATGATAGTTTGAAAGAAATTAGCAGATCATTCTTGTATGATTTTGCATGGTTTCTGCAGAGTACATTGGCATTCATTCTTTCCAGTGTAAGAGGCAATTAAGTCCTCCGTGGAGACAAAAGGCAGAGGCTCATTATAAACATAAACGTGGGACCAGGGCACCAAAAGGGAATAGGCAGAGCTGTGTATCATCACAGTTGGGGTTTTTTTTTTCAATAACTTGAGCTCAGTCCAAGTGCCTAACACAAAATGAGCTGGAGGCCTCAGAAGGCCCCACTGAAGACATAAGAGTTAAGCAGCAAAGATCAAAGAAAAAAGGAGAAACACAATCAGAGGAGGGGGCAAAGAAAGAGAAAGGATGATGGGGCTGGGTCCCCTGCCGCCCTGCCAATGTCAGGGTGGAATGGGGAACTCAGATTCCATGTTTACCTGACAATCCAGAGAAGAGCAGATGAGCCATCTCCTGAAGGCAGTGGGCATCTCCTCTGTTGGGCAATTTCCCTGCTGGGTTTGGAAAGCAGGGCACACTCAACAGGGAAGTGCATGGCTTGACAGGGCCCTGATGACTTTGGACAAGTTCCCTCTGCTTGCTGTGCCTCTGTTTCCCCATCTGTAAAATGGGAACAATCGAATTTCCTGCCTCTCAGGGCCGTGGTGAGGATAAACAAGATTCTGCCTGTATCTGCACCACCTGATTTAGAATATAGACTTGATGACTAAGCACTTGACTTTATTATTACCATCGACCTTAATATCTCCCAGGTGGCCAACTCCTGAGTATTATGGAGTCCTGATTGTGTCAGAGCCTGAACTTACAGCACTGAGAGGCTCCCACTTGAGAATGTGTTTTTAAGATTTGGGGGACTGGAGAATAAGATTGGTGAGGACCCATTAAGGTTTAGCGAACATAAAAACTGCCCTCTTCATCTCCCACTGCCTCTCTCTCACAAGCGCACAACACACACTAAAACTACTTCACACAACATCTTCATTGCTGTGCAGTGAAGTAAATGTAACACATTTCCAGAGAGCACCACTGAATGCCATCGCCCCCACTGTCCTTGTCCTCTAAGTCCATCAAACTATAGCAGGACTCAAAACTTTCCATACTGGCATGCTAATGCCCACCTGGCCTCACATCCTCCTCTTGCTCCTAAAACCTTCTGGTCAGCTCTGACCTATGTGACCAGCAAATCTATGGCACCCAGACTAAAAAAAGATCATAGCAGAGAACTTGCTGGGCAGGGGAGGGGTGCTAGGGACAGCTCACAGGACCCTCCTCACAGCAGAGGTGGACAGTAAGGTGCTGCCAGCCTCCTTGCTTTCTGACCTTCTGTCCCAGCTCACTGACTCTTTCTGCCCCCATCCTTCTTAGGCTTGTCTCCTAACTACCAAGCTACCCCCTGGTATTTGTACTCTATATTTAATTTTGTCTTACCAAAAAAAAAAAAGTTATTTACTCTTTGCTTTTTTAAAAAGTTACCCAACTATTTTGATCTTTTCTTTTACCACTTTCTGAGCTCTGGTCATTCATTCTGCTTTTTCCCACATTCTACTGATCATGAAGTTCACACCAACGTCAATAGCCAAAGTTGCTACATGCAAATAGCATGGTTACTACATGCAAGGATCTGAGCTAAGCATTTCACATGCATTTTCTCTGATATCTCATTTACAAAGGATGAAAACAAAGCTCAGAGAGATTTAGCTATTTATTTATTTCTACTCATAGAGCAGGAATCATCTTAGGTAGAACTGAAGGCTGTCTGATTCTGGAGTCCATACTTAGAGATCCACCCTCCTCTAAGACCGAGGGAATGTAGAAATAGGTGAGCGATGATAAAATCCAGAATTAATTTAAATAATTTAAATGAGGCTATATCATGAAAAGTTCAACTTACACTCAGTTTTAATAGAGTACAGCCTTAGAGAACCCAAGCAAACAGGACAGACACCTGGGGAAGGTGAAAAAGGATTGCCAGGCTGAACTCTGAATTTAGCCTGATGAAGCAGGAGCAGGCTGAAGCCTTGAATTTAAAAAACAAAATAACCCTCAGCTATGTAGAGTCCATGCTATCAAATAAAGGTCTGTGGGTTGAATGAAACCCAGGATATGAATTCACTTTGAGAATTGAAATAATCCCACTGAAATATGCATGTTTGGGGCTGGCCAAAGCCCCTGACTATGGGATAGCCCAGGTCTGCAGCAAGCTACATAAGCTCAGTTTGGCTGAAACCCAGTATGTTAGCTTTTCATCACTGGAAAAAATACCTGACATGAACAACCTAGAGAAGAAAAGATTGCTTCTGGCTCCTGGTTCCAGAGGTTCAATCCTTGCTTGACTCTATCTCGTTGGGCCTCAGATGAGGAAGAACATCATGGTGGATGGATGTGACAGAGGAAAGCTACTCAGTTCATGGCAGCCAGGAAGCAAGTACTGAGAAGAGCTAGAAATACTAGACAGTTCCCAAGGGTTCATCCCCAAGGTCCCACTCCTGTCTTCTAAGGTCCTCCTCCTACACTTACTACCAGCTCCCAATAGTTAGTTCAAATTATAAATCCCTCAATGGATTAATCCACTGACTAGGTCAGAGCCCAAAGGATCCAATCACTTCCCAGGGACCCCACTTCTGAACACTGTTCTATTTGAAGACCAAATCTTCAACCCATGAGACACTTCATATCCAGGACTCAGTGTTGGATCCCATTCCTTCTGTGAAAGGGGAAGCTGAAGGATATTCCTAGAGGACCACGTTCCCCACCAACCAAGATTCCCTCCCCCTTGTTGCTCTTTCCTTGCCTGGTGGGTAGCACTACCTTTTGCTAAATCTTCCTCAGAAAGGAACAAAGGAACCCAGGCTATCCATTTGGGACCACCCACCTGTCAGCCTTCTCTCCAACCAAATGAAGTCTGCTGTTGTTTTCTTCCAATAATGTGACTGGAAGGAATCCTGCCTCGATCCCTGATTCCTGGCCTTTGTATGGAAGGACAGAGCTCACCCACTCAGAGGCAGGCCTTCCAACTCTGTGAGCTTGCAGTTACCTCTAGGGTCTTGGCTCAAACCTGTAATGATGCTGCTTTCCGAGAGGAAGGCCTCCCTTCTTTTGCACAGCATCTCCAAGTAACTGGACAGGGTTTCCCTGTCAGGACCAGCAGAACAGCTTCATATAATCCCTGAGTAGCTCTAGTTCTTTGGGTCACACCGGGAGTCAAAAAATCTGAGTTCTGAGTTCTAACTCTGCCCCACAGGTCAGAATGCCAACTCCATCCTCAACTTCCTGTCTTCCTGCCAGGGGGTTCAGTAGGAGATGAGGGTGGTTCAAGCTCTTCCATAGAGCCACCAGGGGCTCAGGATGTCCCAGGCTTTGAGTGAGTTTCACCACTACCAGCTCCTTGGATTGATTCTTACTGCCTGCAATTTCATTTGAAGAAAAGTCTCCATGGTGGTAGAGGGTTTGAAAACCACTGGGCCATGTGGTCACTGAGTCTCTTCCAGCTGTGGCCTCCCATCATTCTATGACGGCTCCCTGCAGGCAGCCTTCCCAGGCGCCAGGTGCCAGGGCCCTGCAGGAGCAGCCTGGCTCACACCGATTCCCTTTTGGAGCCCAGCCAGGAGCTGGCACAGCCTCTGCTCCATAACACTCCAAGGCCCAGCCCTGAGGGAGGCTCAGGTTAGCGCTCTGGCTTATGGACAACAGCTGGCCAGATGCTGGCAGAAATTTCACAGCCCTGATGGCTCCTTTCTCCCCTCCCCCACCCAGTTGGGTCCTGTCATTTCATCCAGGCCCTAAAGACAAGGCCAGCTTCCTCGTGGCTTATGGAGCTTGGATAGGAAGCATTCTGGGGTGGCCAGAAATAGCCACCACGCTTCTAAGAGGAAAGAGATGAGCTACCACATGCATCTGACACAGCTTCAGGAAACCCTGCACTGTGACCAAAATCACTCCTTGTTGTCCTTGGCCAGTTTCAGGGTAGAAGTCTGGCTAAGGACAGGAACCCGATCAGGGGCACCTTTCCTGTGCAGGAGGGAGACAGGGAGGTGGAGGCTCAGAATCACATTCAAACTGCTCACCTGCTTGGTCTCAAGGAGACATTTGAATCTCAATCAGATACAAAAGGAATTTGATTTGCCTATTCTTGATATCCATATAATAGGTAGACTTTGTGCTTGGCTTCTTTCATTCAGCACAATCTTTCCAAGGTTCTTCCTATGTTGTAGCATATATAGTCTTTCATTCCTTTTTATTGCCTAATAATATTCCATGGTATGGAGACACCATATTTTATTTATCCATTCATCCAGTTGATAGAATTTGGGGTTTTTCCCATTTGGGGGTTATTATGAATAATGTTTCTGTGTAACACTGAAAAACACAAGATTTTATAAAAGTTACAGAAAGGAATGCATCAGACTTTTCTTCACAGTTAATTTTTCACTTAAAAATCCACTTCTTTACACATAGCTTGCAGGGTAACAAAATAAGTGCATCGTGAATACAATATGGCCAATGAGCAGAAAGAATTGGTATGGGGAGAAGTCACCTTTTATTTTGAATGACACAGATGTGTAGCAAAAAGAAATAGCTAAGAAGAGATGACCTACAAGCACCCAGAAAAGATAGATAATGTTAAATGCTAAACACAGATAATGTCTAAACATAGATAATGTTGAATGTTATTATAACCTACATTGGCAAACACAGCAGCCCTTCTTGACATTCGTGGGCTTATTTCTTACAAAACAGTGTTGACAAGCCCTTTCATCATTGAGGAATCTGTTCATCTCACATGATTCCTACTAGGCATGTCCCCAGCACACCACCATCATTAGAGCTAGCAGCCCTCACCCACCCATCACCTCTTATCTCTCTCTCTTGCCCTCTTCTCTTCCCAGCCCCATCCTGTATCCATCCTCCTACTCTTGACAGATTGACTGTAAACCTCTCACGTACTCAATTCTTGGATCCTTCCCATTTTCTTTATGACTTCTGGTAGGTATCATGGAGTAGCTGCCTGTTAACCATAGGTACAGCTTGGGTTGCCGAGGGCAATAGAAGGATGGGGAGATGGTAAGGGAAGCCCAGAGTGATTGCCACACTTTTTCCTTTGTTGCTTGTTATTAAGGTAATTGGCACTATAGCCTACGAATTTTGAGCTAGCCATCCACCCTCAGGCAAATCTCATGCAAAATAATGCAAAGTCTTCTTATATCCACACTTTAACACCCCATCATTGGTGGTGATATTTCTAAGTCAGAACCGGTTGCTATATTTATAATTATTCATTATTGAAATATTCCACCTGGCGACCAACTCAGACTGGCAGCAAAATAAGGCTGATTATACAAAAACCCATCTGTCCTCATTAATCTGAGTAATGAAGAGCAGAAGCCCAGCCGGATACCCTGGAAGTTAACACGGAGGTTCCATGCAGGTGATAGCAGGCAGTGGCATGGCTATACACAGCCTTCCTCTTTGATCTACAGGAGCTACATCAGAGTTGATGGTGCCCAAGGTCTAAATAGCCATGAAGACAAATCATCGGCTAGTTTCAGGGGGACGGGACCAGCTTTCTCCAATGTTCAGGTCTGATCTAACACTAAGTGCACTGAAAACTTAGTTAGCCACCCTCCCTTACCCCACTCTACTTTGGCCACCTAACACCCTTTCCTAGACTTGAAGAAAATCTTGCTTTCTAAAACTGCGGCTTTATAATATCAAAGATATTTAGAAGAAATACAAATGTACATCATCCTCGCTGACCCACTCATCTCCAGAATCTAAGTCCCAAAATGATTCTGTGGGTTGACCAAGCTGGGCATCCACCATATGCTCATTTGCTAAGAGATCCCGGCTCCCAACACTCCTGCTTTCTAAATAGCAAAGATGTTGCCTGTGTAATCTCCACTGCAGTCCTTGATGTGACATGCTGTCTGTCTAGTACCAACCCAGACTTGGTGCCATGAGAGATAAACTCAAGTGGTTTCAGAGGGAACAGCCTGTTTATCTAAAATAAAGATTTGTCCTGATTCACAATTACCCAGAACACTGTTGGACTCTCCACTTGAATGTCCCATGTGGCCTTGTATTCCACCTGTCTGAAACTATACTCATTCTTTCCCCTTACAAATGAAGTTCTCCTCCAAATGTCTGAATTTATATTCCAACACCACTCTCATTGACCTACTCAGACCTTCAGCATCACATCTCTCACCTTCCTCTCTGAATCATTGAATCCACTGGTTCAGCCTCCAAGCTCTGGCCATCATTTGGCTGATTCCATTTTGACATCAAATCAGTGCAGTCACTTCTAATTAGGTAGCCAGTTGCCATTCTCTCCAACCTCCAGTAAATATATAAATATATATATATATATATATATATAAAAAGATAATATTAGAAATGAAAAGGCAAAACAATGATTGCTTCCATATAATATAATTGCTTATTTTTTTCCAAGTCTGAAACAAGCCGCTAAAAAGATAGTGCTATGTTTTGAATGTTTGTCCCTCCAAAACTTACGTTGCAATTCAATTGCCAACCTAACAGTGTTGGAAGGTGGGGAATTTTCTAAGAAGTGTTCGGGCCATTAGGGCTTTACTCTCACAAGTGGGTTTAATGCCTTAATAAAAGGGCTTTCAGGAATGTTTCTCTCTCTCTCTCTCTCTCTCTCTCTCTCTCTCTCTCTCTCTC